TGAGCTGTGTTTTAAAACACAGCTCATACTTACAAAATGTTGGCTGTCTTTCCAAGTTGTCTCGTGTGTCACTGAATGACGAGCACGTTGAATGCAGATGTGCAATATGTCCCGCAGCGGGCAAGAAATTGACCAAAAATCTGATCTAAATTTGTACGCTGTGACCAATATGTTGATTAATTGATGCACAATAACACTGAGTTAACTCCTTGGCGGTTGTTGCTTTTGACAACTGCTCGAAAAAATAGCCCATCTCTGCATCACTGCATTTAAATCAGTACTCTGACATCACTGGCACCCTTCTGTACCGGGATACTCCAACATGCTTCAGGCAGAACTTCCACTATCTCAGTTTAAGGATCTTTTTTTTTTTTTTTTTACCGCTCTATACATAATGCCAGTCAGTATCTGTTCAGTTTAAGTAGCAGTGACAGGGTGTGATAAGACACAGCAGAGTTAAAAACCCTTATCTGGCCTACGAGCCGAATCCCATCTGTCTCTCTCCTCACACTGACTCATAATGCTGCTTATTAGCCCCTCTGGAGGGATAAAGGGGAAATTGGGAGATTTTTAAAAAGGGAGGGAAAGATCAGGAAATAAAGACCAAGAGAAAACAGATTAGGAGGGAGAGAGCTGAGCAGGAGAGAGAGAAAAATGCAAAGAATGCACGAGACTGGAAAAAGGCTACATTTTATAAGGAAAATGTAATTGTGCTGGCGTACACTGAACACCGCAGGTGTGAACAGGAAAAAATGAAACCATCTGAAATGTTAAATTCAAGATCGAGGCAGTTGAATTATCACTTTGTATATCAGCACTGAGATGTGAGTAAATAGCCTCGAAAGCAGTTTAGCTGTCCTTTAAAGAGTAAGAGACGAAAACAGTTGAAGTTGAAGCACCGGCGATGGTTCAGAAGAAGTGCACTATAAATGGTTAAAGTGTCGGTTCGGTACGTACACAAGGAGTGGCAGCAGTCGAGATGTCAAGATTTGAGTTAATAGTCATTAATTGATGTTTAGAGGCTGAAGCTGGAAGGTCAAAGATAGTGAGTGCACTGTAAATAGTGGGAGTGTAAGTTCAAGAGCTGAAGAGTCAGGAAAGAAGAAAAGGCAGAGTGAAGATGTGGACAGGAGACAAAACGTTGTGGAAATAGACAAGCGATTTAGGGGGAAGTGTTGTGGAAGCAAAAAGAAGAGGGTGAGATTAGGGAAGTATATGGATAGAAGATGAAAGGCAACGAAAAAGAGACAGAAGCGGTGAGCAGACTGCTCTCCCGTAGTGAGCGGCTTTTCAGATCCAGCGGACAGATAAATGACACCCTGTCAATATTACAATGCACCATTTCCTCCACCCCCTCCTTTTCTACATCCCTCCATCTCTCTCCCCACCAACCACCCCTCTCCCTTATATCGACAAGTCCTCCATCAACCAGCAGACTCCACCCACCATCACCCACCATCGCGCACACACACACACACACACACACACACACACACACACACACTTTTTTTGCCTATTACTTTATATGAAACCAAATTGGACATGTGTATCCCCTGTTTCAACTATTCTCCCTCTTCCACTTGTCCTCTTCTGACAATCTCATCCTTCTCCTTTGCCCTTCTTTTACAAACCATCCCTCTCTACTCCTCTTTCCTCTTTCCTCACCTCCCCTGCTCTTACCAGCTGCTCTGCATTGTCCTTTCCATCTTAGCTGAGTAAATATGAAGGTGTAGTGGCCACAGAGAGAATTGAGCACTCATTGAGCACTGTGAGGAAAGTCATTGTTCCTTTAAAAAAAATAGTATACAGACACCTATACCTCTCTAAAATCAAAAGCTGGTAACACTTCCTGTGGCAATTGTATTAGGATATTAAGCATCTTTAGGCTTACACAAACCCCTCGCTCTTTTATTGAGCAATATTAGAGCATTTTACCCAATTAGGACTCTAAAAACTCCTCAGATTAAACCATCTATAGGACAGCTCAGTTTTGGTCGACCTACTCACAACATAGACAAATGCAACGTGTGACAAGGGGCCTCAGGTGGCTTCATTTTAAAGGGTCACGAGCGTTAAAGGCTGAAAACCACCGGTATACTTCTTGAATTCATGGTGTGTCGTCGTCTCCCCCCCCCCACACACACCCCCACACCCCACACACACACACACACACACACACACACACACTCAAACAAACGCATCACATTCAGGCAATCAAGAGATTCAGTCAACCTTTCCATCCCATTACTGTGTGCTGTGATGACAGATGAGGTGCCATCTCACACACACACACACACACACACACACGCACACGCACGTGCAGGCATACATGTTCAGATTCACATGTCTAAGTATTTCTAATGTAACCTGTGAGATCGTAAAGCACATATGAAATATAACAAGAGGCGACCAACTAAAGGTAACCCGCGCCGCGCTGTAGAAAGAAAGGGAAGTGGCATTTGAAAGTAATCAGCCAGTCAACGGCCTGAATATTAATTACAGAGGCTTTTCAAATAAAAGCGTTCTGCTACAACTAACATTAAACACAACCCATCGTCCACAGCAGTCAGCTCATCCCGTGTAAAGAGAGGAACACTCACCGAACTCGTCTCCAAATCGACACTTTTCTTTTGAGGATTTATCCGCGAGTTATCGGAAGAACCGAGACCCTCTCCTTTTCTCCGACGATGATGACAACAACGACAACCTTGTTGCAAAGATGCTACTTGTGTTTCTGCGACGTCTCTTTCTTTGTTGCGGTGAACTGCTGCTCGATACATGCACACACTCGGATGCAGAGTGTCCGTTTACTCCGCTGGTCGGGCGCTGATTGGTCGGTCGCTTCCACCACAACACAGAATTCTGCTCTGACGCGATTGGCTCGAGCTCCAATGATGCGTTTAGGGACTACTCGTAAACTCAGGATCTTGTTGTACCAATTTATAGAGTTGTACAAAAATATTACTAACTCTACTCTCCCACCACTACTTCCACTACTGCAACAGCTTCTACTGAATTAGTATCTACTTGTAGTATAATTACACTGAAACTGTCATGACACAACTCTATGTATCACTTACACTTTCATGTTTTCAGCCCCCGCTCAGTGTTTGAACTTCAGCTTCAGATCCTTTGAGCACTTTCACTTGACGCTTCACTCAGCACTTACACTTAAATGGACACTTTCAGTTCCTAAACGAAAACTTAAACTTATTCCAAAACTTCCATTTTAAGTGTCTTTAATCAATTTCTTTCAGTTACTGTACTTCTACTTTGTTTTGCCACCTTTCTACATCGCTCTCAGTAAAAAGCCATTTTCAGTTATTACTATCTCCAGAATTCCGACGGCCTGGAAGGTTTCATCATCCCCACGCTTTATTCCTCTGTTCTTGGGCACATCCCCAGACTGTGGTACCCAGCAGAATGATTATCACTAAACTAATCAGCGGGTTAAGTGGAAGTCAATTTAGATACATAACCACAAGATCAATGGACTGATCTGCTATAATATCTAAAATCCGGGCTGTTTGGTAAAACAGAGCAGGGCTGATTCATTTGCATCGAGTTGTAATTTGGGCCTGTGTGTGCGCATAAACAACCTTAACAGCAGCACTACACGATCGATACATACTCATGTCTTATGGCCTTTTGATTAATATAAGTCACGGAGTCCAAACACGCCATGTATGATGATGGATTATTCCATTTTCCATCCACCCATATTCATTAACTAAATAGAAATAGATTCCTTTATTGGCCTCCCATGTTTGAGCATAAAGACATGCGCAGTGATATTTTGTGTGTGTGTGATTGTAAATGAGAAATCATTGAATTCAGTACATTGAACTTGTGCATTGGTCAATTCTCTCAGGGGCCATTTGGCTCCACCTGGTGGTGACAGTAGGCAAACACAAACAGGTCTTTCGTCCCCACACTCACTCTCTATACTTCCACTTCTATACTTGCAGTCTATTAAACATCCGTCAGTAACACATGTTGTGATTTATCATTAAATAATTATCCTAACATTCATAGAATATTGTCGTCTTTTTAATTCTAGGGGTTACAAACTGCAAATACAGAAATAAATAAAAAACATTTCTAATTTTTGTTGCAAGTGGATTTTTATTTACTTTAATGTTTAAAAACAAACAAACAAAAACATCAACAAGTGAGCTGGCAAAAAACAATCTTCCAGGTCAATCTTCCTCCAACGCTGCGTCCTGTCCAAGCATGCAGGAGAAAGATATTGAATTGCATACGTACACTGAAATGAGAGTTACAAAATGAAGTGAAATGTCTGCACTGCTTGTCCAGTTGTCTGGTTATTTCACATTTTGGTAACATGACCTCTAGTATTTTACTGCAATGGTGCCAAAAACATAAAAAACGAATAGAGTTTTACAGGAAAACATGGACATTAAAATGAGTCAGCCGTTTTTTTTTTGTTTTTTTCCCAAGCACCGACAGCAATTCTGAGCGAGCAACATGTCAATGTAGACTGAAAATCAATAACTATTACAAGTTACAACCCAGGCCTTGGTTTGCCTCGGAAGTTATACTGCAACAAGGGGGGAGGGGGGGTGAGAGCATTCAAGAACTTCATGCCTGAACACGTCAGGTTTTCAGCATTTGGTGAAATAAACACAATACTTTCTTTAAACATGGAAACTGTGCCGACCTAATCAATTCCATGTGGAGAATGAGAGGCACAGAGCCCACAGCGGCTGGGCAACAGAGGTTGTGGAGGGAGGGGCTTTAAATGTCATGTCAGAGGATGTTTTGATGATAAACAATATCAAAAATTGATTTGATAAGGTGCTCGGATACAATTTGAAACAAATACATGTGCCAAATTTTTCCAAAAGATAATTCTTTATGTATGCGATATGAACTTTATGCTTTAAAAAGGGGTAAATTCACAGTAACAGATTAGCTTAGTTTTCAACAGTCCTAACTCTGTACGGTGTTGTAGAGATGATTCCAGTTGTTAAACTTTCACATTAAAATACCTCCATCTTGATATTCTAAACATGCTGCTATGAGAGATATGAGCAATGTAAACATTACCAATGATGGAAACATCCAAGCTTTGCAAAATGGAACTTTTCTTTTGGACCGCTAAAAACGACTAACCAACGCACACTAAACGCTTACACTAAAGTATTTCTCTTGCAGCATTTGTTAGCTTTAGTGTTAACACAAATGTTGGCTTGACCGCTTACAGCAACATACAAATACAAATGAACTCACAGTTTATACTGTAAGAAAACCCAGTCAAGCAAGAACTATATTCATGTCAACAGTCACTGTCAAACAAGGTTAAATTGCACAAAAAAGATAATGACATGTTGCAAATGCAAACTACAGCATGATCATGCGCGGACCTAAGAACAAAAACAATAAATGATATGCATATACAGTATCTATATTATATACACACACACACATTTGGACATCCTTCACAACTACTGAGAACTCTAAACTGTACAATATATCTGCTATAAGAACAGTTGCGCAAAATAACATTTTGATATACAGGAATACTTTTTTTCTTTTACAATGTACAAGTTCAAACTGTCCACACAAGAAAAATGCAAAGCACAAGCCCTAAAAGGCCACAAAAGTGCATGTTATCAGGTCAGCTGGGAGCCACTGGAAGGAAGGGCTGGCATGAGACTGGGAAGGAAAGCTCCCAGTGTCGCACAGGAGCTTTCCCACACTCCCAACCGCAGTGTCCGGTAAGATGAATGGTTAGTGGAGGGAAATCTGGAGTAGATATCAGCTATAGATGCAGGCACACATGACCGCAGATGAACAAACACATTCTTAAAACATAGTTAGATCATCATGGTGAGAGTGACCAACATGTCACACACACACACACACACACACAATGTGATGATGAAACTCCATCAACATTCTCCCACTACAACATTTCCCCACACCGTCACATTATATTTAAGTAGTGGCACTCCAATAGTAGATACTTAAGTGTCGGTACCTTTTGGACAATCACACACTTTCACATCTCTAAAAAGGACACGTTGGTCTCATGTTTCCACACAAGATTTTTAAAGTCCTAAGCAGTGACTGGGTGCAGGCAGAAGCTGGCCTTGTATGCCAACCTTATTTCAGTTTTAACAAAGAGAAACTGTCAACACAGAAGGCAAACTTTCACCCGAACCACGTCACCACCAGGCCCCGAGTTATAGAGGAGTAGAACACTGAATGTCAGCCATCACAAGCTCATCATTGTGTTTTCTTATGTGTGGCCACTTAGCTCACCGCTGTGTATGAACCTCAGGCCTGGGGGGGGGGGGGGGGGGGGTGCTTGAAGCCACACTTTGTGTCGTGCAAAGATGGGTGGTTCAGATGGTACAGGAGTCTCACCGCACTGAAGCAAGTCCAGCGCAGACAAATGGTGCCAAGTAGTGTGACATTGACCTACATTTAGTCATCATCTATCCTGTCACACCGAGTGGTCTCCAAGCATTCCCCGTGCACAATATCATCTCTATCCAAGAGTGGAAAAGGCCGTTTTTCACTCTCCACTCTAAAAGGAAGGATGCAAAATAAAACCCTTGTTAAGGCCACTGAAATGTGCTTAAAATGTATTCCTTTAGAGGTACCGTTGGTTGAACAGGTGCCAAACTCTTTCCGTGTCTTTCCCGTCAGTGCCTCTTCTCCTCATCCTTCCCATATTACCTCTTCTCTGAACTGCAGTGACCTCTATCTGTTCCTGCAACCTGATAAAGGGAACTTGAGGTGATGATGCTCATATGGTAACAAAGGGCTTTCCTCCCTCTTCTTGTCCACAAGAGTATTTTTCGGTTTTCCTTTGGTCTTCATTTTGACATTTAGTCCACACCTTCTCAGTCACTTGCTAACTGTCCCCATCTTTAACCAAGAAGGAGACATAGCTGGTGGGCTAGCGGCTGAGCAGGTAGACCACCACCTCATAGGTGCACATCATGATGGCAGTGTTGGGGATCTGTCTGACGAGGTGGGTGGTTAAGCCGCGGTACAGTGCCCGGTATCCCTCCTCCTTGGCCACCGTCAGCAGCGTTTGGAAGAACGAGCGGTACTTGCTGCCTTCCTCTCGTAGCCGTGTGCGGATCACCTCTGTAATTAGACAGAAGAAGAAGAAAAATTGTGTTAAACACGCCGATGGTCACGAGAGGTTCTTGTCAGACTTTGTGTGTTGTTTGGTCTCCCCTGGAGCTAAATTTCCATATCTGACACTCTCAAGAAGGCTTACTGTTATAAGCTATTTATTCATCCATCTTTTAGTACACCAACTGTCCCTCTGCCTTATCATAACCTACTGAAAATAAGTTAGCAGGGATATTGTTTTTGTCCCAGAATGACTTTAGACAGTCCTAACAGAAGGTTTCTGAAGAGTTGCATTCAGCTGTGGGCTGTACGTAGGTGGAGAAGGAGAGAGATATTTATAGCATAAGTGGACCATGATAAGAGAAAGTGAGACGTTGCCTCACTGAAAATGTAACATGATTCATGCTTTCTCATTGTGAAACTACAAATTATTGTGTTTACATTTATAACAAACGATATATTTTGTGCTAATTGATGAGCTTTTAAAGGTGCAGGTATGTTCCCTATTTTAAGCTAAGCTAATTGCCTCCTGATTCTGGCTCCGTACTTTACATAAATATCAAGTATAAGGATAAATCTAATGATATTTTAGTTGTGTGTATTTTTTACAAAACACATGAAAGACCAAATCCAACAATAATTTGATTCCACTAACAAGTATTTTGCTTGTAACCAAAGGCAATAATAGATTTCTTGCCTGTGCCATATAGTTCATTTGTTCTTCAAAAACTATTAGAAGCAGATCAATGAGCCACACTTTTACACTGGCTGACGTGTTTCTTCAAGATGATGAAGAGAAAGAGTAGATCCCCAAAAAATAGAAATTTGTACATAGGTTAAAAACAACCAGCATTTGTTTTTAAACAAGAGTATTTAAGTGTGACCTGTTTTTAAAGGTTCATGCCTCAAGTAGAAATCAGTGAAAATAAGAAAAATATGGAAAACAGTGTCAGCCTTATCTTTTGGGAAAAGAAAGCGTGAGACAGAAGGTTACCGTGAGGGTATGCGATGGAGGAGGCACAGGTCTTGGAGGTGGCCGCTGCGAGCATCATGCCCACAAAGTCTGACGCATCTTTGACAGACTCCTCCTCTTCGTCCATGCTGCCGTGGGCCTTGGATTCCACCAGTTTACGCTTGATGCTCTCATAGATGACAAAATGGATAACAGTCTCAGAGATGCCAGCGTATGAGGCCGACATGCCCCTGTAGAAACCTCGCAGGCCGTCCATCTGGTACACCCGCCGAACGCAATCAAATGCATTCATTCGCCGCTCACCCCGGGATCTGTAAGACCAGAAAACAACGCAATTTAATTTATTATGATCATTATTATCAGTCATGAACCCGTTCCACTGTAGCGTCTAGACCTATGACGTACAGGTTGGATGTTCCTCACCTGGTTTCCAGCTGCAGACGGGTCTTGATCAGCCAGATCGGATTGGTGGCCGTGATGGCGGTGAACCCTGGGAATTTCAGAGGGGGACAGAGGTTCAGACAGATGCAGAAACATCTGGAAGAACACCATCTATTCAACCATATTACATATTCTATACTGAACAAGGACAATGAGAAAGCACTTCACTAAACAGGATCAACTCGCTTCAGTGTTTTACTTTACTGTGAGACATTTCAATACTGTCATGGAGAACTATTGCACAGATGATTTGAAACAAGGTCTGAATCAATTCAATCTTATTTTGAAAAATCATTAATTCAGTTACAGACAAAAAAATGAACTTTTCAGTTTCACATATTGATCCTCTTCATGTGAAATGCAACACAGGTGTATGTAAACAACAGCTCTCTTCCTCAAGAAAAGCGTCTGAACTAACGACAGTGCATGAAGGCAGCAGATCTAACTGGAGACATTGGGAGATGAGGCCGAGCAGCAAAGTCATTTTAGGCCTTTGGGTTTGGCAGATTGTTATTAAACTGCAGTCTGATTCATTTTTTTGAAACGTTAGTAAGAGCTCTTGTGTTTCTCATTAAAATAGTATGTTATCAAAACATAAGTTTGTCTTAATGAGCTAACGGAGGCGGACTGTTTTAAAATATTACAACACACAAAAGCATCAACCCTTTTACAAGAACATCTGTCATTCACAACATGGAAGGTTTGATTCCTAGTATGGACTCTGGTCGAAATTCAGCGATATAAACGTGCTCCATTCATTGGTCAATGAATGAACATCTTTATGTTTATTTTGTGACATTTAACAAACCAGTAGTTGACTGGTTAGACACTAGAGACAGGCTGTTGGCCTGATACTAGCACAACTAGCACAACTACAACAGCACAGAGAAACAAAATGGTGCCTGGAAAAGATTCTTCGATTATTAAAGTTGTAGGTCACTGACATGAAATTTAGCGCAGACTATACTTCCTAATGGTGGTGGGAAACCTTATTCTATATGTTCATCCGTCTTCACAAACCGATATTAACGTTAGCTTAGTTTGACACTGGGGTCACTCAATAATGGGGTCCCTGAAAACGCATTAAAAATTCACTTGTGTCCACAGAATATATATTAAGTAATCTAAAGTTTGCTATGTAATGTGTAAAGTTAATAGTGAGCACTTTGCATCATTATGAAATGACACAAAGTGCATAAGGAGGGAGATAAAACATGGCCGTTTGCAGAAAACAGCTAAGACGAGGGCGAGTCTAGAAGGAGACCTCAGTCACATCTAGTGTAGCAATGCAACACAGCCCTAGTTTAAGGCAACTGGTTGAAGAAGAGAGGAAGACACAGGTCTGATGGAGAGAAGAAGAGAAGAACAAAAAGAGGAAGAAGAAAAAAGAGGGAAGCAGAAGGAAGTAGCGTCTATGGCGTGTACTCACGAGGGAGGGGCAAAGCTCCTCCAGCTCCTCCCCGCTGCAGCTAGTAGCCTGCAGATATGGGGGGCACAGATGGCGGGGGTCTCCCACCCAATCAAGCAGGGGTGAAAGCTTTACAGTAAAGCCCTAAAATAGACACAGGCTTTTCTGTACCACAGTCACACACAAGCAGCAGTCACATCCACCCCCAACCCCACCAACCACCCCCCCCCCCCGGTACTGTACAGGGCCGACCCCCCCCCCCCCCCCATCTTTCCCCAAACTCTATCCCCTTTAAATTACTCTTTTAAGTTAAATTGTTGTACAATTCTTTTACTTTACAATGTATCCCTCCCTTTACTCCTTTTATCGAAAAATGTTGACTGAACAGAAGCCAACCCAATCCAAAACTCCAGCTCCATCTCACCAGAGCGAGGTAAAAGCACAAACACAAAGGCAGAGAGTTAAATTGAAGAGGTACTCTTCATAATCCTTGTGCCATTATCAGTTTATAATCTACATATTAAGAGAAATAATTCAATCAAATGCTTGTTATATAAAAAAGGTAGAAAATTAAGAAAAGCAGGAGGAAATGCTAACCTTGTCGGTGTGTCAAACAGACTCTAAGCGCTGGACAATGGTGATGAATCATTTTGATGGATCATTTGTTGAATATGTGATGACATCAGGATGAAGTGATTGATCATAGTAAAGTGAATCAATGAGGTGGAACAATGAATGCAACTCAGCGTACTCCATAAACCTCTTGAGGCCAAACCTCATTCTGGAAAAACTGGGATAAATCTAAAAATAACAATTTGGTGTCCCTCCAGAGAGCCAGCCTGCTTCTAAAAAACACATCAAATAACTCATGAAGGAGTTATTGAAGTCCACACAAAAGGACCGTGGACATGGCAACCACAGAGGACAGCAGTTTTTGAATTTTCAGGAATTTAATGTTAATTAAGTCTCAATATTTATTGTAAAATATACAGCTTAACGTTGATGATTGTGCATCGTATAACGGAGAGGCCTGTTTGGTGTAGCTGTTTTTATTATGACAATTCAACTCTTAAATATTGATGTCACTATTTATTATTAATGGGTTTCTTTGCTCAGCTTAACAGGACATGTGTCCATTAATATGAATGGACAGGAAAGATTTGTCACAATTTTTCCTCTGAACCAATAATGTTCAAATAAAATTTTTTTTGACAAAATTCCTTAACAAAAAGCAACTTCAGAAATATGTCTGGTAGTGGAAGTGAACCACATTTGCCTGCTTGGTCATTTAGATGAGCCAAGAAAAAGATACATACGAGCCCACACAGGCTGACTAGTCCTTGAGCTGTGCCCCTGTGAGGAGCTGCATCTGCATAAGACCCTTCTCTAGACACATAACGGTAGTTTGACCTACATTCAGAGAAGGCAAATATGTTTAGATTAACTGCTGGAAGAGATAATAGGTCTAAGTCAGGAAGTGGGACCAGCCTCCCTTCTCAGAGTGCAGGGTAGCCCACACGTCACTGCAGGGAGGTGATGTGAGGCAATAGCTCCTTTCACACAGAGAGTCCACAACACTGCCATAAAGAAGATCCGCCACGGTGTGTGACTTTAGATAGCATGCCGAAATTACAGGAGCAAAAGAGGCGGGATGAGAAACACGACAGTGTCGGTGTCTAGTGTGTGTGTGTGTGTGTGTGTGTGTGTGTGTGTGTAGTGCCAGCTGTCCCTTATCAGCTCTGTTCTGCGACTACTTTACAAAACCAGAAGCAGCATCAGGGACAATTTTAGCTGTTCAGCCACTGAGGCCTTCGTTAACTCTGCTATCTTTGGATTATGTGCACATGAAAGACAGAGACAATAAGTATATCTGTGCAGTGACAGTGTTAGACATTTGTACTGTATAGTACAATTACACAGATATTCAGTTCAAGGTACTTAATGAATGCAACGGTCATCATGATGAAGAAATGTCTGCAACATAAAGAGAAAACTTTTCTCCACACTTACCAACCTAAAACTCTTCTATGTGTTGTGTTGAAGCCCAACTCCATTACATGTCTGTGCCTTCACTGCATCTTGTCCACATTCAAGTAATAATTTGTGTTGTATGGGGGTTTAACTGTGTATGTCATGTCAAAATAGTGCCAGCCTTTTGGATGACACAGAGATATGGAGTCTCCTTGAAAATAAGTGAGTGAGGGACTAATGATGTTGATGGATGATGACAAAAGGCACAATGGAGAACATCAATTAAAACCTTCCGTAGCAGTGACAAGGTTAGCATTTCTTTTGTGCGGACAACATAAAATCCACAGAAGTATGTGTCATTACTTTAGCTTTACTATGTTGATGGGACAAGGCAACAGGCTAAGGTAAAGGGGGAGGTATGTGTCAAGACTAAGCAATAGTAAAACCTTATTAAAAAAAGAGCCTAAAACTACAAACCAGCAGCAAACACATTGCCATAAGCAATGGTAATATCATTACAAATGAATAACCATTATGAACTTTCTAATATTCATAAAAATCACCATGGTTTTCATCATACCAGTGTAAAAAAATGGGATGCTACCTGACGTGTCCGCCCGAGTGCCAGGGGCCCCGGTTGACCTTTGGGGGCCGTGCTCTCTCCTCTATACACACACAGAGCAAAGAAGGGGGCCCAGACCACACTGTTTAAGTCACAACCGGGATGTTAAACCATTTACAGAGTCCTCTGGAGAGGCCTCGAAATGAAAGAATAAAAAGAGGAGGGAAAAGGGCAAGGAGAAAATAAAAATAATGGAGGGCAACGGGCTGGGAGAGGAGGAAAGCACAACCTAAACTTTGAGGACCATGTGGTTTTCTTCTTTTTGTCAAACAGCTAAAAATATATACAGTACATGGTGTAAATGCCAGAAATGACACATTATAGTAAGAACCTGACTATTTTGTCTCCTCAACTGTATGTGGGCTGGCAAGGCCCCCATGAAGAGACAAGAGACTGTATTATCTGGGTAGATGTTTACAGAAAGGAAACACTCAGATAAAAGCTGATGAGGATAAGTAGCACATGTGCTATGTGGCTAGCATGGTTGCAGGCTGCTTTTTTGGATAAGTGCGTCTTTCGTGGATTGGCTTCACAGCAAACTAAGTGAGGCTGTGTCCACCATAATCAAGGTCAGTTTGATCCTGAGAGTCTTAAATTGTGCTTTCTGATAAGCCCCCTACTGTTTGTATTTAATATTTCTATACACGAAACAGCTAAGTAATGCCTACTTATAACAGACATCATTTGTTAGCTTTGGCATGCTTTAGGTATTCACATTCCTTTAAATTAGTCAAAATCCCACCATCCCACACATGTATATGGAGAGGGGGGGTAAGGGGGGGGGGGGGGGGGGGGGGAACGGCGGGGAGCAGTAAAATAGGGAAGAGGAAGAGAAAAAAAAAAA